CACTATGTGTGATAATTAAAATTAATCATACCATATTCATAAAAAAAAAGTAATAAATTATCTTTTTTTCCAACCAAATATTAATTTTTTTAAAGTCTTTCTTCATTTGTCCATTCTTTTTACCAAAAAAAAACACTTTGACTTTTTTTTTTATAATTGGTTGAGTAAAAATCTTTTTTCATGTGATTATTTTATTCTTCTTACTGTTAACAAAGATTGTTAAGTTCACCTTATCTCTTTCTTCCATTAATAACATTTCCTCTTCTTAAGGAGACATGATTAAAAATTATTAACTAACCACTTATCCTTATGTGTTGTAAGAGATTTTAAATGGGACATATTAATGATGCGAGGTACCCAAAGTATAGTGTATTAGGAAAGAATCAAACATGGTAACCTCTAAAGTTTCAATTGCACCACAATATTTTTAGGTTCATGATATGACGATCTACTCCTCAAATTTTCAATGAGCTTTATAAATGAGAATTGCATTATAATATTACTAGAAAGAGATTTACCAATAAATTGCTTATCTATAATTTTTCGTAAATCATTGACATTATCATGTTAATCAATCAAACCTAGACAAAAATGTTGGTCTGGATGGACATTACTTACAAACAATTGGACCTTTATCATTTTTTCATAAAGGTCAAGTGCCCCTAGAATAATAATCTTAATAATAATTAGTAATTATTTTCTAATAACATAATCAATGTCTCTTTATTCCAAATAAAGAATAAATTTTTTGTGTCATATCTTATAGTTATCTCCCTTGAACTCCAGAATATACATTATAAAAAAATATTTGTTGATTAAGAAATTGCAAAGTTCAAAAATACTATTATTATTATAATTTGAGACATAAAAAAATATCATCTTTCTACTCACACATGATTCATGAATCTAGTGATATAAAAGTTATTTATGGGATAAAGTCTTATTCATATAGTCTAAAAAAATTATCAAATTATGTTATTTTTTTTAATTCTTGTGGGTAAATTAAGAAATATAATCAAATATTTTATCATAATTAATTATACAAATGTAACAAAATTCTTTTAGATATATTTCATCATATTATATACAATTAATATAGTTGTTTTTACTGTGAGCTTAAAAAATATATAATTTTAATTCATTAAAGATATTGTAGATATTATTTAATTAATTAAAATTGCATTTATCACAAAATAATAATATTCTCTAAAAACATTAACATAAAAAATCGCATGCATAAATGACCATAGGGTAAGCTAATAACATTAAAAACAAAACAAGAATACATGCAATATTATACTAGTATTCAATATAATAAATATACAACATAGTTTATTATCACTTTTAAACCAAGAAGATACTAATATATTTGAATTTGATAGAATCACTCTTAGTTATTACGATTATAAATTATGTATTTAATTTTCAAACTTGTAATTAATTGAAATATATTAGCTAGCATACTTAAAAATATATTATTTTATTAAAATTAATTTAAGTTTTAATAAATCATGAATTTATACTATTAGAAATTTACATTTTATAGTTATTTTGCAACTAATCTTTCGTAGTTATATTTTACAATAGATTAGCTATAAATTAATTAAAAAAATAATTTATCACTAAATCTAAGTAGTTAATTAGTGAGAGATTTATTCATTATTTATTATGAAAAAAAATTGTCATCAATCCATTGCTAAGTTTGTTCCTAATAGACGTGACAAATACTTTGTAACTAATTGGTTGCATAGGGTAAGTTATTGTAATTTTTTTTTAATTTATAAATAATCTCTTATAATAATGATCTTCCTAATTCGTAAGTAATTCTTCGTAATTTTTCATAATTTTTTTATCGTTAAATCATAATTAATTTTTCATAAGTTTTCTGTAATAGTTGATTCTTCACAATTATGATCTTACTAATCTACATTTAATCTATAACTAATCTTTTGTAAATATATTATCTTTAATGTCTAACTAATCTCTTACAAATATTATTTCACTGATCATCGGCTCTCTAATTTATCAACTATGAAACAAATCAACTGCTAATCTATCATTTTGTCAACATTTGAATATCACATATTTATTATTAAAATAATTACAATATTTACATATTTTTTTAAATATTAAAATTATCAACTTTTAATATAAAAAGGACTTGTTTGATATATGCAATTATAATATAGTTACTATTTTCGTTGTAGAAGTGCATTCAACTAGTACTTTATCAATTAAAGTAAAAAAAAAATGATTTAATGAATATGATTTTTGCTTAAGGATAGATCTTATTTTATACATGTAAGTTAATGATAATTTTATAATTAATTTGTAAAAATTAATATTAACTAATATATTAAAATATAAATTGACATGAAAGATTTGTGCAGAAAATTATCTTTAATCAATTTATGATGAAATTTAAGAGAAAATATTTTTTAACAACCTTTTTATTATTATCAATTTATTATTTGTGACAAATTTATTATAGATTTGCGATTATAATAATATATAATATAATTTAACTAAAGAATAATTAAAAAAACATAATTAAAAATAATTTTTTAATTAATTTATTGTTGATAGTAAAATATAATGATAATTTTTTAACTATATTATTTTTTAATAAGAAAATAGTATTTTTCATAAGAATCTATTTATTTTATTTTAGATTTATTATAATATATTCTTTTATCATTTCGTCGCAAATTAATTATAAATAAATAAAATTTATCACAAATTTCTGTCATTAATTAACTTGTAGTATTATATTTTTATTACTTCAATAATTGATTTTTTTTACATATTGATAAGATTTGACCTAATCATTATAAAATTTCTAACCTGGATACATTATATTTTTTTTCTAATAATCAAAATATTTTTAAAATAAATAAATTTCTTAGATATAACAAAAAATAAATTTTTGGATAAGAAAAAAATTAATAAAGTTGAAAGGAGTTTTTTTTTTGAAAAATAATAAAAAGATATGAATTTTCATATTCAGAACTAAATTTTCTTATATAAAACAAAAAATAAATCTGTGGATAAGAAAAAATATAAATAAAGATGAAAGGAAAACAGTTGTTGAAAAATAATCACGAGATACAAATTTTCATATTCATAAAAACAGTTTATTCTAAAAAAAATTGACTAAATTTCATTGAAGTCCCAAACATCCAATTTATGTTATAAACATATTATTTTTCATATAAAATAAAAACTATTTCGAGTTGCGTTCTACTATTCTTCTTAGAGTTTTGATATTGTAGTATTTTCTTAGGAATTTCTTTGATTCTTGGCTCTATAATATATATATATATATATATATATATATATATATAATTCAAAGATATTCATGTATATGCAGTAGTCATTAACGTTGTGTACTTCTGTGAGCAAAAAGTTATGTACTTCTTGATCTTCACTTCTAAATTTCATTAAAAATAAGTAGTAATAAAGAAGCCATTATGAATACAATACTGTTTCAAAATAATTAAATTCTCTTTGTAAAAAGTTGAGAAATGCTTGAAGAAATTAAAAAACAAAATAAAAATTATTTACAAATGATATATTTGATATTTCTCTTTTTAAAATTTGCATCTCTAAAGTAATATTAGTCCAGTTTTAATTAGTAAACCAGTTATTTTTTCTACAAAATTATAAAGAAATTAATTTTCACAACAAGAATTTCTTAAATGGGTTTGTTTTATTTTATTTTATTTTATTGACAGAACATTTCTTATGAATTTCACCTTATAAAAATTCAACTGATACAGTTTAGTAATTTTAGATTTTAATCAGTGAACTTTATCCCAAATTTTGAATCGATAGAAGAAAATTAGAGCATTGAGTGTTACCCAAATGAATCACACTGATTAATGTGTACAGAGTAAACTGCAAGTAAAATAAAAAATAGAAAGACCTTTTAAGAATTTACCTCTAAACTGCCCCACACTCAGTGTATTTTACAATTTTATATATACTTAACGTGAATGTCCTTGTTTTCATAAGAAATTTCTATATATAATAAGATCAAGATGTTATAAAAGCTAACCTACCAGTCTAATGACAGAACCTTACAGAACTAAAGAACTAACTTTTTGTCTGTAAGGCATCCAAAGATAAGCAAACTTTTTCCTTTTTCCCTCACTCCCTCTCTCTCTCTCTCTCTCTCTCTCTCTCTCTCTCTCTCTCTCTCTCTCTTTCTCTCTCTCTCTCTCTCTCTCTCTATATATATATATATATGTCTTAATTCTTCAGCCTATGAGAAAACTTTAGGGTAATTTGTATTAGAAATTTAGAATCTCATAGTACTAATTAATTGGTATGATTAATTCTAAAGTTAGATGTTTCCCTGCAGGAGTCATGTGCTTTCCTCTCTGTAAAGGCATAACCACTAGCCTGGTCGAAAATGCTGATTTGATGATGCAACTCCAGCACCTTGACACCTCATCATAAACTAACAAATACATTAACATGGAAAATGCTTTGTCTCTACTAAATTTTCATGTTTAAAGGAAAATTCACTTTTGTGAACACAGTTAGGACTTGGATTGGACCTTAAGTAGATGAAAAGGTTGTAGGTGTTGTTTCTCATCATAGCTTTTGACATTGAACAAATAGCAATCATAATCACTGACACACACCCTATCATAACCCCACTACAACACAGAGACAGATAGAGAAACTACGGGAGAGAGGGAATAAGTAACATGAAAGAAATCTGAAATTTCTATTTCTTGAATGTTGTTGACATTCTCATGCCATATGAGCCAACTCAAACTCCTATCTTTTTCAGTGAGAAGGGGTATGGATCCATGTATTAGCGTCTGCTGCTATGGACAATGGACCACACGGGCCATTGGTTGAGAGTAATGGTTCAGATGTCACTCTCAAACTTATGGTACGTATTGTTGGAAGTTCAGTGCATGTGTAGTGTCCGAATGAGTAATATAATTCACCTTTGCCTATGCCTAGTTTTCTTCTGATTCAGCTCTTCATGTCTTTTTTGGTTCATTAACCTTCTTGAATTCATATTCGGAGCAAGGCATCTTTCCATTTGTACTATCATCAACCTCTTCCAAGTTTGAACAAATTTCTTCATCATTAGATGGTTCATCCACAGAAGCATTGCTTTCTGACTTCACTGATTCATGAAATTCCGAGTTTAAAAATCGGGGTGATGATGAACAACATGAATCAAAAACGTCAGACATATTACTCTCATCTGCTTTCATTTTTTGAGCATAAGCTTCATAGTTGAATCCAACTGTATTTTTCCCACCAAAATAGGATTCCAGTTTGTTCATGTCAAGGTGTTCTTCCATCACCATGCAGCTCCTTGGGTTATCAGGATAAACAAATATCACCTTTTTGTGAGTCTTGGGTTCTAGAAACGGTTTCACCATCTGGTACCATGAAAAGAATATGCTTACAAAACACACAAAGCAAATACAACAATACTGAATTTAAGAGATGTTCATGAACCAATTTCAACAGCAAAGGAAAGCAACAAACAGAACTCCACTTGTCTTTCTACTTATAAATCACAGGCTTCATTTTATCTGATCTGTCACGACTCACTTGAAACTAATACTGCATGCACTCTAGTTGGAGTAACATTCTCCCAGATTTAATGATTCAGCACAGTGGAACAAAATAAACCAAAAGGATCTCCTAACTGGGAGATACGTAAAATGACTAAACACTGCCAGATGTATGCACACATACAAATTCTCATCAAGAACATGTGTTTATCTCCTCTTTCATGAAACAAGTTGCACGTAGAGTTCTAAATTTTTACAACACAAACTTCACAAAAAAGCCAAGCAAATGAGACAAATATTTTCTCTATCCATTTCATAATCAATACCAAACAACATTAATGAAAGACAGGAGATGTTATGATGTCATACCGTCCAAAATGACTCGAACACTTTTGGTGGGTTGTAAAAGATTGCAAAGCCCAACCTCTCAGGGTAATGAGCCTGCAGGATTTGAGCAGTATCTCGTGCGACCTTCATAGATAAGCATGCTGTGCTCCATCCTTGAAAATCAATAAGCCAAACCATCTGGTCTTGATTGGAACCTAGATTCCATATGGCATTCTCCAAACAGTAAATGAGGTACTTGATTTGCGCAATTGGTGTGTTTGTACTCTAAATTGGTTACATGAAGTCTTAGTCAAAAATAATAAATCAGAATTTTGGAGATTAAGTTAACCATTTACTCAAACTTCAATAATATTGGCAGTGACATCCAAACAACAAGAAGACTCAACTGTTTCAGTACAATTAACCATAAAAAAAAAAAAATTGTGCTTACTCTCTTCAATTTATTTAGACTACCTGAATACCAGGTCTAATAACAAAAACAATCCTTCCTTGCTTGTCCAAGTAATCAGCTTTATACAGCCTTCCTCTCTCAGCTTCTTGAGCAATATCATCCTAATTGTATAAAAAGTAAATAATACAAAACAATTATTTTTCATTGTAGTTATCTAGTTAACAGTATGCAACTCATCAGTATTTGAAACCTTCTAATCCTGCAATGGAATTCTATTGTGTAATTGACTGAACAAAATAAAACCTGAGATAGAGATAATTACACTGATAAAACCGCCGAAATTACTTGTTTGCAATTGCATGGACACTTAGTATTGCACAATGATAGACCTATCTTAGTTTCAGTCAATACACCTAGAGAACTGGACAGTTAATTTTCGTTGGGTATGAGCTATTTTTATCTAAGTTCACAAGGATTTACATAGTAACTGTATACTACTAATTATTTAAAAACTAGGACATTTAACCAACCTTCATGCTTCATTCTATTCCAAACTGAATGAATATATTCTTCTATTCTATTGAAAAAAGAAGTAGATAAAAAAAAAAATATTTGATGCACACCCATTCAATCTTCTCAGGCTTGAACTCCAGCCTCCATTTTATGGTGCCTTTCAACATCTTTGCAGCCTTCATAGAATTATAATTACGTGCTCTAAGGTATCTTACAATTGATGCATCCGAACACACAGCAGAGAACTTGTCAGCAATTGGACCAATTATCCTTCTGACTTCTACAATCTAAGACAAAAAAGGAAATCAAACAATTTTCCACTTCAAAATTCCTCAAAAAAAATTAGCTCATTTAAGATAAATTCATTGATTGCCTAACAATGAAGAGTACATGCAATCATTGGGATGGAAGATATACTGCACTAATACATATATATACAATATATGAATGCATCAAATTTATCATTTCACATTCATAAAATTAGGCCAGATGAATGTAAAGTACCTTGGTCTGCTGCTCTTCAGTAGTTAATGTTTTTTCAGATCCTGATTTCGATTTCTTGAACGACATTTTTCTCTTCAAATCCCAATGAAGCTAAAACATCCTGAAAACATGACAAAAGAACAAAAAAAGCCTTACGTCCATGTAATGGCATGAGTACATGAAGTGCAACAAAATTACGGTTAAATAGACAACTTCAACTCAAAAGACCCATTTGTGCTTTAAGTTCATCTATACTTATGTTGATTATGTCCCACGTATTTTATTGATTGTCTCCTTATCACAGTCATGTTGTCATGGTTTAAAAGGTAGAAAAAAAGGCACTCATTTTCTAAACTTAAAAGATAGATAACTTTATTTTTTTTTTCCTTTTGAAAAATGGTATTTACGACAAAGACAAGAATAAGATTTTCTCCTCCCCTACGACAATCACAAATCCTTGAAAAAGAAAAGCAGAATTGGAAAGAAACAATGGTAGCAATAAAGCCCCATAATCCCTCTGTTGCCACACGCTTGAAAAAAAGAAAATAATATACAAGAATGACAAAATTGGCCTTCTGAACCTAATGAAAAAAGAAAAATACCAGGGCTATGATATTGTCTTTTTGATACAAGACCTCTAAGCTTCCAGTTGTTCTTTTTTGTCTTTTGTGAAGCCTAAAAATGATCCTGGAAAATATTACATAAATGAAAAAGGTCATGACATAGGATATATGTGATTATAGGATAACAAAATACATGTCTATCCAAGACTGATGTTTAATATTGCATTTCATTTGGATCTTGGAAATTGAAAATAAAAAAAGCAGAAAAAGGATGCCTAAGCATTTTGAGCTTTTATGCTACAAAGTTTCCTCAACATATAACCATGCCTAAGAGGTACCATTGTTGTTTAAAACACAATTTCACAATCTAGCATGGCCATAACACCAAAGAGAAACTATAAACATAATCCTAAACTAAGATTTAAGCGAGGGGACACAAAGGTACATGCATTCTATTTCAACCAAATGCACCAAAGAACAACATATATTGCACACTGTTACTGAATTTGGGCCTCTTGTTAAAACAAAAATCTTGAAAGAACAACACTCACATGACCACACACCCTATCCAGAAACATAAACTCAAAATCCTGCCCCCCAAAACTAGAACCAAGTTCCCTTCCACAACCATCTCATACTCAATGAACATAGAGAGTTCTACCATTGGCCGAGAACAAGCTATCTAACCACAAGCCAAAAGAAAATTGTCTAACAGTTTATTTAAGGATAAAATATGTTTCTAATCTCTCACATCTATATTTTAGTTTCTACATTTTTAACTGAAATCAAACAGACAAGACACATCATTTTCTGCACAATGCAGACAATCCATGAGTTCTTCTGTTATCCTAAAGTTGCACCAAAGGGAAGAACCTTCTCATCCACTTGACAAACCAACACCATAAAGCAACAAATTAAACTACTTAAAAATTTAAGCAAACCAACACAAACAAAGGAGTAAACATGATGACAATAAATTCCTACAACTATTACAATCAACAAAGGGATCAAATAAAAACACTTGAACTCCTTTTGTAATAGACCTTGTTCACAGTTTCACTGCAATATTCCTCAGAAGCACTCCTGCATGATATTGTTACATAGAAGAATAACGTATTTCCTTAGCATTTATTGCATAAGTCGGTCAATCCAAGATTCAGTTCAACAAGATGCACATTCATCCCACAAGATCATTAAATAAACAAGTTGTAGCCAAATATTAATCACAAATGTCACACCAACGTAGAAAAGTCAAACCAATGGCATCATAATGAACTCCTCAGAAGGCCTGCATGAAATGAAGAGTGTGTGCAATGAGAACAAAATTGGGGAGAAGAAATAAGTGTTGAGAATATAAGAGAAGAATGAGGATCACTAAGAAGAAGAGGAGGTGAGGAAGGACACGTGGCAAGCACAGAGAAGCGTAAGAACGTAAACCGTGGAAAATAGGAGCTTATGACGCGGAAAAGGCAAGAAATAAGAAAAAAATTGCTAGATGTTATGGAACATGTATGTACATCAAATTTTGACCAATATTCAAATCGTCAAATTATATAAAATATAATTCGAATAAATTGTAATAATATATTAAAATTGAAAAAAAAAAACATTTTTTATTTAATTACAACATTCTAGCAGTACTACTTTACAGGAGTCTTTTAAATAATGAAGTTTCTGTTGTCGTTTTCTTTATAAAAAATAAGGTGATTGAAAAAATCATTTTCATTATAAATATGTGAAAAAAATAGTTTATGTGACTTCATTTCTAATTGGTTTTATAAATAATAATAAAAATATTTATAAATAATTATTACTTATAATTATAAAATATTTTATTGTCTAATCTAATACATGTAATATGTAACTCACGATAACAATTAAGACACTATAATAAGGTAGATAAGTACAATTTGATATGATTATTGGAAAATAAATTAATATTGATCCAGTTTAATCTATATTTTAAAATAAATTATAATTTTTTTATTTAATCTGATTTTATAATAGGTTAATTCTTACCTTAAAAAAATTATTAGTTTGTGTATATCAAAATAATTAATTAAAAAAATATTTAAATAAAAATAAAAAAAATATTTTAAAAAATTTAAGTTATATTGATAAAACTAATTTTTATTTAATATATATAATAATTTAATATACAAATTATAAAAAATTTATTTATTAATTTTTAAAATAAAAGTTAAAAAATTATTTTATTATTATCATCGTATTTTTTTTAATAATTTAATGATTTAAAATAATAATTTATTTTAAGAATTAGATAACCTATAATACATTATATCTCTTATGTTTTAACTCTTATATATTTATGTAAAATTAATTTAAAAAAAAAAAATATATATATATATATATAATAAAATAATAATATTTTTAATTTAAAAAATAATAATAATTTTATAAAATAGACCTATTCATACTTATTTAGACTATAATTTAAACGGATTGATCAAATTAAGCTTAATTCAAGGTTACAAAATTTTCTATTCTAACTTCACCTATTTATCTAATTATTTGAATTAGTAATTAAATCTATTTTAATGTTCCTAATTATTAGAAAAATAAATATAATTTTGGAGATAAAATAATTCTCTATTCATCACACTGTAATTAATAACAAGATTCTCGTGTATGAAATGGATAAAAAGAGGAACTAAAAAATAATACCGTTTTTTTTTATTTTCAGTTTTTATTTTTTAAATTGAATTGACTCCCAATATATATAAAATATAGCTATCATTAAAATTTGAATTATTAAGGATATGATTTTTAAGTTAATTATTATTTGTGATGATATGGACATTTACAATAAACTTAATATTACAACAGTTACCTTAAACATATGTTTTGCACTAATAAATTATCTCCACCGATAACAAATCAAAATAGTATTTTATGATATTGGTATATTAACCAGAATACCTTTTTTAATAAAATTTTGTGTTGAATGTTATCTTACCATAAAACATAATGAATCTTCATTGCTTATTGATGAAAGAAAAACAAAAAACAAAAGAGTGACGTCATTTAAAAAAAATAACTAATCGAATCCGAGTAATGGCATTGGATTTATTAAAATGTGCAAGTTTTGTTTAATGATAAGAGAAAAAAAAAGCAAAATTGTACGCTTTGTCTCTGATTTCTTGTCCACAATTTTAGAGATCAAACACTAAAAAACGTTTTGGACAAAAATATCAACGGGTCAATTTTAACCCCAAATTCACAAAATGGATTAATTTAAAAAAAAATACGAAATTTGGATATAGCGCGACTTCATAGTTCCATTTTCGTTATATTTGATAGAAACACAGGATGTTTATGTTTTTTTTATATAATTATTATTTTAATCTTAATTTTCTTTTCTTTTTTCTATTATTTAAATATATCTATTTTTTTAATATGTTTATTATTTTTTAAATATATAAATTACAATAATTATTTTCTTTTTAAATTATAATATTTTTCTTTTTCTTTTTCATAGCTCTATTATGAAAGAAATCTTCGTTGTATATAATTATAAATATTTGTTTTTTACTCGGACTATTTTTTGAAAAAATTAAATGAAGTTGTATTTGATTCGGTAGACAGAAGTCCTGCATTTTTTTAATAAAAAACACAAATTCAGTTATATTAAATTATAACTAAAATTATAAAACCAAATGTAATTATGGTTTTTTCAAAATATAATTATGTGTTATTTATTATTTAATTAAAATTTTATACAATATATTATAAAAATATTTAATTTATATCATAAATTTAACATAATTATATTAAAAAAAAAACACTTTGAAAAACTATCATGGATATCTCCTTTATTTTTTTTACTTCTTGTCTTATATCTTATAAATAGAAGAAAGAAAAAATTAAAGACCAAAAAATTATAATTTTTATACTATAAAGATTAAACTGTAAGAAGGAAAAAACTTATAAATTTTATGTTATAAGATAAAATCAGGAATGAGAAAAATATGAGAGTGAATGAGGGGTAAAGAAAAATATAAAAATGTGAAAAAATAAAACTAGTGTATCATATAAAAAGTTGAAGTGAAAAAGTAAAAACATGTGAGAAAAAAAATAGGAGGAATAGAAAAAATTATTAGTAAAAAATTACCTAAAAAAATAAATATAATATTTATAATAAGTACAAAATTAGAAGATAAAAAAAATAAAAATTTATTTATATTTAAAAAATATTAAAATTTTGGTGGGGAATCTGTCTCTATATTTCAATAACCTTCTACTTTGTGATAAGATAGATAAATCGCGGAAATGAGTGATTTTACAAGAAAAAAAAATAATTACAAGAAATGATGGTTGTAAAAAAAATGTGACAAGAAATAACACATATTAATTACTTATTATTATATATGTAACGTATTATATTTATTATTAAGTGAACCATACATATTAATTATAATAATAATTAATACAATATATAATTAACATACTGAATTCATTAGTCTTAGAATTGATGTATTATGTTACATCAATTAATAACTTAATCGCTATAATATGTATATATAATGTATAGATCTTAATAATAATTGACATAAGATGTATTAACTTATTTATCAAATTATTACCATTTTTTATTTTTACATTTTTTTCAATCAATATTATTTTACTCACGTAAAATCAGATTTTGAACTACTATTGGTAATTTAACCATTAAGATGAAATTGACCTTTAGTATTTTTGCCAAATACCATTAGTTTTATGGAAGTGTAAAGTTCTGTTTCCAGCCTCAAAATTTAGCTCATACAACATTATTATTCTTTTATAAAATACAAGGAAATATTTCTTTTATATATATATATATATAAAAAAACTATGAAGGATTTCGAAACTTAGTCAAACTCAATGCAGTAAAACCTTTGGATACTCCATTTGTAGTCATATATAATTGGGGATTAAAATTTAAAACACAATTTAGAAAAATTACTTAAAAAAACTTGTACACTACTTTCTCTGATCAAGGTTAAATGTCTTATCCTTATCTTCAACGCATGACAAAGTGTTACAATTAGTTAGTTAAAATATTAACATTATATCTAAAAAAAATACCAAATACAATTAATTGTAACTAAAACTAACAAAAAATATTTGTATAGTAAAAAATATTACTTACCCTAACTTCAAAAAACTTTATATGCAATTACAATTTTACAATTTTAATTCTGATAAAAATAATAGAATTAAAAGGTAGTTAAACAGTATGATCTGTTGGAATATATTAACCAAATTAAAAGTAAAATAGCAATTGGACTCACGTATTAGTATAATTAGTTTTTTTATTAACGTTGGTGTCAAAATAAATTTAATTTAACATATTAACTCAAAACGTTGCATGATAATTTAACTGGATATTTTTTTATCTAATTTTTTTAACCTATGACCGAAATATACCAAGGAAAAGTGACTTATAAGTTTATAATCCAATCCATTTCATAAAATAAAAATTATATTTTAAAAAAGTAATATTATTATACTAAGACTGTATTATGATTTATCCAACTTATAATATCCAAAATTAATTATTAATATAACTTAAATTTATAAAAATATCTTTTTTCTTTTTTTTTAAATTATTTTCTTAAAACGATACAAAATGATTTGTTGACCTAATAACCTGACATATTGCTAAATCAAACCTAAAAACATAATACTTTTAAAAATAAAAGTCAAATTGATCCAATATAATTTTTTCAGATGTCCCTTTAAGTCGATCGAACCAAAATTCTTATTAACTATTTAATTAACAAGATTTTAAATTAAAGATTTTGGGAACTATCAAATACTAAGAATAATTTAAGATCTTTTCCTGTATCCTCCTATTAAACTTTATGATATATTATTGAATGTATTTTATTTTTCTAAAAATCAAATACTTTTATAGGATTGTCGAGAATGTATTTTAACTAATATTTTCCCTGTAAGAGAATAGGAAGATTTATAAAAAGATATAGCATTACTCAAATACTAGTAGATTTTGTTGATATTGGTAGATGTGGAATGTTTGCTGATTAGTTTGGAAGATAGGAACTTGTTAGGTATAGACATATATTCTCTCCACTTATATCTTGTATTTTTCTCTGTACGCTACATAAACAGCTCCACAAGAAGAATCAAGAGATCATGACATTGTCTTACTCTTCTCCTTTCCCTTGAGCCTTGAGAGTCAATTATAGAACAATTTCTGCATACTTCTGATGCTCAGTCAAAAGAAATTAGAAGGGCACAGTGGAGTACTGAGAGAACAAACTATTTGAAACCAAGTATCTTTTTCACTCTTCGTTGTATTAAATTTTCTTTTATTTCACTCTTTGAATGCAGTCTTCTCCACAAATAAATTCCCACTGTTCATTCTTCAAAAGCATTAAGACAGTTGTTAGAGCAAAAACTACAAATACAAACAGATAAAGATAATGCATAGGTGACATAGAAGGTAAATGTCGCACTCTGAATTGATTTCCAAATCTAACTGTGACTGACTCTTCACTGTGCTCCTTAATAAAGTATCTTATTTTTTTCATTTAGTTTCTAAAAAAAATAACATGCAAGTTAGATAGTTTTAGCCAAGGCAGGCTTGAGCACGAAAGGAAATTACAGAATAATGGGTCATCACATGGAAAACTAATGTATTTTGTGGTTTTAAATAATTAGTGATTTTATTCAAAGTCAAATTCCAATCCATTATTATACATGCATGAAGAAAAATAGAAAAGCAAGGGAACGAAGTAAATTATTCCCTATTAACTTTCGTCAGTTAAGTTTTCACAACGTAAACAACACTGAATTTCACCTTCCAGACCTCACGGATGAAACTTTAACTGCCATGGAGGGAACCAACACTGAATGAAGATGGATGTAATGGTAGCACATCTGATATATAAATAGTAGTTGTTTCTTCCTCCAAGGTTCTACGATGATGTTCTCAATCTATCCAACAAATGGACAATTAAAATGGTGACAAAAAACAACTTCATCCCTCTCCCTCATGAAGCTCAAGACTTCACATATATGGGAAATGGAAGCAAATTAGAGACAGAGAACTTCAAAAAAAGAAAAAGAAACTCAATGAACACAAGAAAAACAACACATTTACAGAATAGGATTATATGACATGTGCAGTTTGTACCGTTCAGAATGGTCAGGAACCACGCAACTGCACAAACACTAAGCATTGTAGGAATACCTTTTTTATCTTTACAAACGAATGATGTTATCAATACAGATTGATTACTTCGATTAGAAACTCATCACCAGAAAAATGAAATGGAAAGAAAGCTGTTAAAGTCATGTTTTGGCTCCTCAAAATGAAGGAATGACTATTCTTCAGATACCCAAAGATGCCACCAATCAAGTCTCAAGATTTATAGAAGATACAGCAGCCCAAGCAATCATGACATGCTCGTTTCATGGAATGCTCTAACCATTCCCCAAAACAATCGTTCACGGTATGCAAATGCATGAGCATCAGAGATTAAACCATTGACTTCCATGTGTTATTTACCACCCAAAAGTTCAAGCATTGCAATGAGAAACATGTTAAGATGAAGACTTTTCATTTCTGAAATTGGACACAGTTTTAAAGCCTAGCCCGTTGCATCAATTTCCTTTCCATGATCATCTTCATGAATATTTCGCCTCAACCTTCTCAGCCATATGGCATAGTCCATAGGATATGGTGTCCCACATAGACTGTCAACATAATCAGCAAAAGCTTTCAGCACAGTGGAAATATCACCTAGCTTCTGCTGAATTAATCTCCTCGACCAAGATGTTTCTCTCCACTGTAGAGCTCCCTCTACGGAATCTAGATCAGGAAAAATTCCACCACATGAATAATAAAGCATATAAACTAGGCTTTCCGCATCTGAAGCAGAGCATAGTTTTCCTTCCTGAAGTGCGTAAGTTGATGAGAAATGAAGATTCATAGCAGGACGATCCCTATCTTCAAGAATGGAATGACCCCATCCAATTAGAACAAAATAAGGGTGCCTCACGCCAGACTTTACACAGATTACATTCTCTGGCCTGATGTCTCCATGCCGAATTCCAGCAGAAGCAACAGTTGAAAGAGCTGATAAGCAATCATGGCAACATCTGATAGCTTCATCTGAACCAAATTGGCCAGTGCGTACCATTTCAGCTACTGTTTCACCAACTGGACTGGTCACGAGAATAGGGGTCCCACACCAAGGATGGTCACAATTTCCACCAGTGCTGGGTCGGCGACAATGACCTGGGTGTATGATCCTACCAGATGCACTCAATTGAGGCAGATATTTGCTTGAAAGACCTCTCTGCTTCATTATTGTCAATACTTTTGTCTGCCTCTGTACTTGATACCATAGATTCATATCTTCCCATGCTGGTTCGAGCTGGGAGGGATGAGACCCAACATATAGGAACATATTTTGTCCTGGGTCTTCAACATGGGATGCAATGAAGTATGTCAATTCACTAGTGTTGATTACCTCTTTTATCTGATATCCCTTTTGCCAATCTGAATCCTCCAGCCATATTATGGCTCCTTCTGATATCATTGACTCCTTGGAATCAACTTTGATTGAATCATCCTCAACTTCAACAATTTCAGGCGAAACACTACGTTGTTGGTATCGAAATACACCATTTCCATTTACACTGGTATCACCTAGCTGCCTTTCAACTCTTCTTGTTTGGAGACGTGAACTATGATCAGCAGCTAAATCCTCAACAGAGTGCTTGGGCATTCCGGCAAATTGCATTATACAGTGGAAGGTTGCAAATAGTACCTGTAGAGAACCAATATCTCCCCAATTCGCATTTCCAAGTTTGTTCCAGATCCTGTCAATTGGAGAAACAGAAATTCTAGAATGATTTTTTACCCATTCAGCAGCACATTCATAAACATTATTCACGTCAAAATTGAGCTTATTAACATCTCCTTCAACCTTTACAACTCCCCCATATTGAGAATCAACTAGAAGAACAAACACTGTGCACGGATCTGGAAAGAAACTCAGTCTACTTAAACTCCTAGCTAATAGCATTCGAAGAGCATAAAATAGAGCTTCTCCAAGAACTGATGGAGAAGGCTGACGGTCACTGCCAACAGCATTGCCTCCAATATCAGGCCTTAGAAGTGCCAATTCAAGGACATGATCCCATTTTCCATGCGGATGTCGTGAATTATTAAGCAATATACCAGTGCCACAAAGACCTCCAAGCCTTTCATTTGCAATAGCCTGTTCAGCCTGATAAAACTTCATATTGGAATTATACAGACAAGACACAGAAAAAGGCATGGGCTCATCTTGACTCCAAAATGCCTCCCACAAGCCTTTTATACTTGCATGTAAAAAGTCTTCAATAGCAAGATAAGCTGTTGCTTCTACAGCATCAGATGTAGAAGCATGAACAGCATTGGGCATGCGTGTCAGCTGCTGAAATGAAATCCCTTCCAATGCATAATCAAATTTTTGAAGTTCAATCAACTCAAATGGAACATCAAATGCCTGCTGTTTCAATCCAGAGTCTTCTGTTACAGATTCAAACCAATCTACAAGTTTTGCAGTCAAGTTGTCACTATCAACAAATTTATAGAAGAACTCCTTCTGATTCCGAGGCCTACCCCCAGATGATACACTGGACCTCTTTGTCCCAGACCCTACTGATTCCTGGTCTGGGGATCTACCTGTAAAATTGATATCCAAATTCATTAATATTACAATAACTATTGCTCTTTTTATATGAGGATAGTAAAATCAGGCATTCATTAGTTTCAGTTGAAAAGACAGCAATAACTCTCACATGTTTTAAAAATTCAGCAATAAAAAGTAATGCATAAACTGACAAATTGACAGTAGAAATTCAATATAGAAAAATGAAAAAATGCAGCATATTCACTTATAACTAGATATGGAAGCCACAACCACTATATCATTTATTGAAGTGAGATCAAAATGATCAAACATGACACATCCTTTCTTGAGAAGCTCCTTCAGGAAGATTTCATTTGAATAGCTGAGAATCACTCTTGAAAAAAATGGTTGAAGTTTTTTTTTCCGGCTGGGGTGTATTTTAAAACAATACTACTTACTTTTCCTTTGACAAATAATACCCTTTTATTATATGGTCAGTTCTAACATATAAATTTATCTAATGTGAAACTCCTTTTAACTCAAGTTAAACCATGATGTGGTTCCACTCCAGCTGAAATACAATTATGTAAATCCCACAATCAAAAGGAAGTTTTACATGGACTACAAGCACAAGTACCAGAACATAATAGGACCCAGTCTTGCAGAAACTGTCATTTTTTCTAGCTTAAGAAAATCATATTTCATAAAAGCTAGAAATCCATACTCTGGCATCTACATGCAGTGCAAACATACTCTAGGCAGTCCACTTCACTTGTGGAATCAAGATACAAGGCTGCAATTTGTGTCCTAAAAACCAGATGTTTTCTTCTATAGTGACATTGAAAGGGTGAGCACAAGAATTTTCTTTCAACCTTCCTTGCTTACAGTCATAGATAAACATGGTGTTCAAACATTTGGTGCAGCCAAATGTTTTTCGATGCTTAAGCCACTTCTGTAGAGTAGAGATAAGGAGAAAGGGGGTATTTGTTGAAGATCTCCTTTTCCAAATAATTCTTTCAGAGATTAGAATTGTCCTTCTATCACCCCATTATTAATTAAGAATAAAAAACTACCATCCCAACTACCACTTATAATAAAGGATAAGCATGGGTGATGTTGTTGTCTCGTATACCTACACCATAAAACCATACATGAATGGTCAAGGTTAAAAAAATGCACATTGACACTTAATGTGACCAGAAACTCACTAATCAAGACTATCAATGTTCGGCCTAAATTTATGGTTCTCATTTCTCACAATAAACAGAAATTCTCACTATACATATATGGCCCTCCTCGCCATTAAAATTTTCACTGCTCTAGCTGCTCACTGGGACAGAAATTTGATTAACATGCTTTATATACAGCCAAAATTAACTGTATTAACCATTTTGGTACCCTCTTTACCTAATTCTTAAGTGTCAAGAAAACAAATTACTCCATTTATCCATTTCACTGCCACTTCTATCTCAAACAAGAACATCAAGAGCAAGAGCATGAGCATGCATGCACAGATCCCACAATCTGTAACTATTAGATGCATGTCAAGGCAAAAAATGAAAGAAAACAAATGTCTAGCTCAATTATATAACTGAGCAACTAAAACCCCATACACAGAAGAAGTACAATTGAAGTTTTTAGTTAGACCATCAATGACCACAACTTGGACTTCCCCAAAAGCCTAATGCATCAAATTATGCTCAAAGTCCACAAGGTTTTTTAGATGCAACCATTCATATCGCGTTCCTGAAGAACAAACGGACTATATTCACAAAGTTTAAGCCTATGAGAAGAACAACCCAGTGTGACCAATGCTACAACAACTGTAGCACCACAATATTAAGTTAAGAAGAAGAAAAGAGCTTAAATACGTACCAATTCACAAAGGTAAGCCGAAATTCACAAATAGAAGCAAAATCGCAACTCCCCAAACCCAAATTCCAAAACTTCCCCTTTCGCTGAATTGAACCGCATCATCAATTTCCAAATTTTAATAACTCCCACACGCCCACGAAAGTTTCTATTCGAATAAATAACTCATAGAATGCAACCACTCGCACAATTCAAACACCCCCACCCACACAAACCACGCAAAAATAATAATTAAAAACAATATAACTAAAAAACGAGAAGAAAATAATGTGGAGTGAGCAGAGTCAATCCCAGCAAAGAGTAAATGAATTGGAGTCAAAGGAGAGAGAATTTAGGGTTCAGAAAAACGAAAGGAAGTACAAGAAGAAGAAGGAACGATGTTGAACGATACCTTGCATTTTTTCAGTGTTATAAGTGGGTACAACAAAGCTTTCAGATCTTCCCCCTCACTCTTTTTTTTTTTTTTTTCTCAATTTATAATTTTTTTAATTTTCTTTTTGGGGTTATGAGGTGAGTGGCCTAGCAGAGGAAGACGCAGATCGCACCGGTGCCTGATCCACCAGTTGCTGTATTGCTGGTCCTGCTGCTTTTTACTACAATTTGGGGAACCATGGCAAAAACACAAACTATGCTAATGCTTTTGTTTTGTTTGTCATTTTATTACGTGAGCTTTTCACTTTTTCAGTTCATTCATGCGTCTTACTTTAGTGCTGCGTGAACTGTACAATACACACAACACAGGATTACCCATTGGTGGGTGCATTTTATTTCCTCATCATCACCACAACAATAATAATAATAGTAATTTATTAACGTATAAATAAATACTAGGTGTTAGGGTCTCACTGCGAGTGATTGAATGACTAGTGTTTTTCTTTTCTTTTTCTGGGGTGTTACGTTTAATAAAATGGTGATAACGACGTTTTGTTCTTTGTTGTGAATTTTTGGAGTTAATTTTATCTTTTGGGTTGCAAAGGGAGAAAGGGTCAATGACAAGGGTTGCTTTCTGGTGGAAGAATTGGACCCCTTATTTTAAAAAAGAAGGAGTGGCCGGCCCTTGGGGAGAAAAAAAAGGAGATTGTTGTGGATTGTGATTTGTTTGAGTATACACTATGTAGTCATGGAAGTTCACTTTTGTTTACATAGAAATTTCATTGTTATCACTATTTTTCTTCTTTTTCTTTTGTATAATTATATTTTTATAATTTAATTTTGGTATTTTGTGCAAGTAAATATTATTTCATTGTTTGATCATTTTTACATGTTTTTTTCATAGAAGCAGACATTGTTTATATAAATAACTAAATTAACTTATTATAGTTAGACATTTTACATTTATTGTGGTACGAGAAAGTTTATATTTGATTTCTGTGGTTCGTAAAAAACTCACCATGTCAATAACAATGAATTGAAAACAAACTCATGATAGGAATAAAAAAACTTTGAATATATATTTTTTATATCTTTTGATTCACCGGTATAATGATAATGAAAGATTCAATATCACAAAAATGATGTTTGGATTTGTAAATAATTAAAAAAATATTATGTAATAAAAAAACATAAAAATTATTATACTTATTGAAACTTTAATTTTTTTTTATTTTTAGTTATGTAATATCATAGAAATTATTCATAGGATATTATAATTTATTTGTCCTTATAATCTCTTTATCTTTAAATTTGCCATTAAGATATAGTATACACTCAGAAATATAACAGTTATTGAGTCATAAAAGAGTTACCAAAGATATTTCTTTAAAATAGGTATACGAATAAATAATTAGAAAAATAGTGGATTACATTAAAAATGCATTTGATAAGAAAATATCATCCATAAATTAGAGAAAAAAGATTGAAAGAAAAAAAAATGTAGAATATACCACATAACCAAGAATGATAATTTAATTTTATTGGTGTCAAAATAAGCTTACTTCAATTAGTCGATTCAAAAGGTTCAAGAACTAAATTATATTAGGCAAAAAAGAAATTATAGTCTAAATTGAATCGGACATATTTTATTATGACATATATGAGTTTAGATTATGTCACTCTGTAAATTTATGGGTCATTTTATTTTATAAAATAATAAATATTAAAAAAAAACATTATTTTATTAATATATATATATATATTATAAATTAATTTAATAAAAATTCACTTATTTTAAAGTAAATATCATAATAACTCTCCAATAATCACTTATTTCAAGATTTAATGATTAATATTAATTACTATTTTAAATTAATAAATTGTTAAAAATAAATAATGATAATAAAGAATAAATTTTTAATTCTTATTTTGAAATTGAATGAATATATTCTCTTATAATTTATATATTAAATTATTATATCTAAAACAAAAATTAATTTATTAATAAAATATAAATTTTCAAAATATATTTTATTTTTTATTTTATGTAAATATTTTTTAATTAATTATTTTTTTAATAGATATGTTAATATTTAAAAAAAAATTCAACCAGGTTGAAATTGATACAAGTATGTTGGCCTAACATAAGATCAAACTAAACTAAAATTTTGATCCATTTAAAAATATAGGTCAAACTGAGTCATCAAAAGACTGGATTAGACCACCCATTTTGCGAACTCTACATGGAATAGAATTTAAAAATATTCAAAAAAAGGATTTAGGAACACATTAAGATTTAACATATAAATTTGTCTTACTTGTTTTTTAATCAATCTTTACTTTACTAGTCATTATTGTATTTTTGTACATTTATTTATTTATTTTGCCTTTCATTAAAAAATAAAACCTATCAACCCTTTTATTTATAGTATTTTTATTACTTTCTTACTGTCTATATTTTCTAAAATTATAATAAAACTATTTTTCTATAAATTATAGTAATTTCTTTTTTATTTGATAAGTATTCATATATAGTATGAATAATGGAAACTTCTACTAGTGATATGACTATATATAACTTTATAGTAGATAATTGCATCATAATAAATAAGAATTATTTAAATCAATTATAACTAACAAAATAAGATTGATCTATAAAGTTGATTCTATCTTTTAACATCTTCCTTTAAATTGAATATTAATTTATTTAGTTTATATTTAGATAACACATATCACCTCCTAAATTTTTTTTTTTTTACAAATCGAGTTTTTATTGTTTGGTCATTATGTTTGTAACTTATTCTTCGGTATGAAAAATGTAATAACTTTACAACTCAATCTCTTGCAAGCTCATGAAAAGAAATGAAATTTAACATGTTTGTTATGACCATGAAGAATAAGGATCATTAATAGTGTAATAATTGAACTATTATCACAAAAAATTGTTATGCAATCATTGTGAATATGATTAAATGGAACTTTATGTATTCAAATAGCTTGACAAGCTCAGGAGGCAACAACAAACTCTACTTCAATGGTTAAGAAAGTGATTATTGTTTTTTTTTTAAACCAAGAGATGACACCGGAACTTTATAGAAAAATATAACTTGAAATACTCTTCCTATCATTTAAATTTCTAGCATAATTACTATTATTATATGCAACTAACTTCTAATCTCCTTCCTTTGAAGAATATTTCAAAATTAGAAGTTCATTTTACATATCTCAAAACTCTTTTGGCAACTCTATGGGGCACTCCATATATCTACATAAAAGACTAACCACAAACATAATGCTAGGACATGTGGTAATTATGCACATTAAGTGCTAATTAATGGTTTGTAATGAGTGTTGTCCACTCTAGTAAATCCATTCTCATCTCTTATGAGTTTGCAACCAAGAACAATTGGATTGCATTCATCCTTATTAAACCTTTCTAATACTTCGAGGCTATATTTCTTTTGACAAATAAAAATACTTTTTTTTTTGCACAAAACTTCTATGCCAACAAAATATCTTATTTGTCCAAGATCTGTCATATCAAACTCATGTATTATATGACATTTGAATTCTTCAAACATATGCTCATCATTTCTTGCAAAAACAAAATCATCATCATGGAGACATATAATTAGAATTGTACCTCTATTTTCTACTTTGACAAATAAAATGTGCTCATAAGGACAATATCTGAAACTTTTCTTAATAAAGTGTCTGTTTTAATCCATATAAAGATTTTTTAGCTTAAAAACTTTGTGCTCAACATATTTGCTTTGATAACCAAGTGGTTGATCTATGAAACCTTTTCATTAAATTCTCTATGTAAGAAGATATATTTAATATCTCTCCCTAATGAACCCCCCCTCGAATGACCCAACAATAAGGACTAGAACTACTAATATCAAATGTTTTAAATGCTTTGATATAATACAAGTTTCATCTAAATGTTCAATAGGAGAATAATACTCATAAAAAAAGATGAACAAATCACTAGTGAGTTCTCAACTAGTGAAGGATAGGAGGAAAACGAGGAAAAATTAAGTATTAGAAGATGATATATTAATGATCAAGAGGTTTCTTGGATGTCAAATATAGCCTACGGAGCAAGCATAAATTGAGAATATTTTCCACATTAGATGTTTAATCAAAGAGAAGTTGCCAACTATAATAATAGATTATGGAAATTGTATTGTTGTACATAACTTCATATTAGTTTCTAAATTAAACTTGGACATTAAGCCACATCCTAGGTCATGTTAGGATCGAGCGCTTACCACTAGGCCAAAAGCTATAGCCATTAGTCAGAGCGCAACTCTTTTTACTTTAACAGCCCAAGCGCCACGATTCAATTGTGACTCGGCCCACCTGACCTTCGTCACAGGACAATTGATGCTACCTGCAACAATCTCCCCCTCAGCAATTGTCCTACAAGGTATCTCACTCTTGGATTGTGACTTGGCCCACCCGGCCTCGCCACGGGACAATTGTGCAACCCGCAACAATCTCCCCCTCAACAATTGCCCACCAGGAATCGAACTCGTGACCTTGGCTCGATACCAATTGTTAGGATCGAGCGCTTACCACTAGGCCAAAAGCTATAGCCATTAGTCGAGCGCAACTCTTTTTACTTTAACGGCCCAAGCGCCACGATTCAATTGTGACTCGGCCCACTCGACCTTCGTCACGGGACAATTGATGCTACCTGCAACAATCTCCCCCTCAGCAATTGTCCTACAAGGTATCCCACTCTTGGATTGTGACTTGGCCCACCCGGCCTCTGCCACGGGACAATTGTGCAACCTGCAACAATCCTAACAATTGTCCTGTGACGAAGGTCAGGTGGGCCGAGTCACAATTGAATCGTGGCGCTTGGGCTGTTAAAGTAAAAAGAGTTGCGCTCTGACTAAAGGCTATAGCTTTTGGCCTAGTGGTAAGCGCTCGATCCTAACAGGTCATTCAAACTACAATAACTTAATAAAAATGATAATGAGCCAACATATTGAGTTTTGTCTTCTATTGGAAGATATAATGATAAAGTTTTGTGTAATGTGCATCTAATGGGGTCAGACTATATCCTCTTAGGAAGACCATGACTAACACTAACGCACTACATGATAGATTCACAAACAATATATCTTATCATGCACAATGAGAAGATAGTTATTCTCAAATCATTGTCTTAT